ATTACTCAGATATGGTAAACATGAGGAAATTAAATCTTCATCAGAGTACAAAACAAATTCTGGCCACAAAATAGAGCGAAACACCAACGTCAAAGACCTGGGAGTGATCATGTCGGAGGATCTCACCTTCAAGGACCATAACATTGTATCAATCGCATCTGCTAGAAAAATGACAGGATGGATAATGAGAACCTTCAAAACTAGGGAGGCCAAGCCCATGATGACACTCTTCAGGTCACTTGTTCTATCTAGGCTGGAATATTGCTGCACACTAACAAGAACCTTTCAAGGCAGGTGAAATTGCCGACCTAGAAAATGTACAGAGAACTTTCACGGCGCGCATAACGGAAATAAAAACACCTCCAATTATTGGGAGCGCTTGAGGTTCCTAAACCTGTATTTCCCTGGAACGCAGGAGGGAGAGATACATGATTATATACACCTGGAAAATCCTAGAGGGACTAGTACCGAACTTGCACACGAAAATCACTCACTACGAAAGCAAAAGACTTGGCAGACGATGCACCATCCCCCCAATGAAAAGCAGGGGTGTCACTAGCACGTTAAGAGACCATACAATAAGTGTCAGGGGCCCGAGACTGTTCAACTGCCTCCCAGCATACATAAGGGGGATTACCAACAGACCCCTGGCAGTCTTCAAGCTGGCACTGGACAAGCACCTAAAGTCAGTTCCTGATCATCCGGGCTGTGGCTCGTACATTGGTTTGCGTGCAGCCAGCAGCAACAGCCTGGTTGATCAGGCTCTGATCAACCAGGAGGCCTGGTCACAGACCGGACCGCGGGGGCGTTGACCCCCGGAACTCTCTCCAGGTAAACTCCATGGAAATATAAACACAAATGCAGTATAATGTGATCCTTTATTGACAACGTTTCACCCACACAGTGGGCTTTTTCAAGTCACACACGGATTCCACTGTGTCGGTATTTTATACCATTTATTTCCAGGTAAACTCCAGGTAAACAGCTCCTGGCCCCGCCTCTTCACTGGTCGCTACTCTGTGTGTGTGTGTACTCAGCTAATTGTGTGTGAATGACATATGAATGGAGATAAAAAAAATAATAAGACTATTTTCAGACAATTTGTTTGGTTAGTGTAAGTCTGGAGGAAAATATAAAAATATCACAAAGACAAGTCAGCAATGTCAAACCATACCCCAAAACTCCAGACCGTCACGTTAGCCACTGGACCAGCTAGCCACAATAAGATTCGTCCAACTAGGTATATTTCTACACCATAGGAAGGTTAGCATAGGCACCACTGTGACCACAAATGCAAGTTTTTACAGACGAATCTCCAGCTAGCGTGGCCGTGACGAACTCTAGCTCAAGTCCCCTCACTGCCGTCAACATGACTCAGTGGCTAACGCGACGGTCTGGAGTTTTGAGACTCTCTGACCGCGGGTTCAATCCCGGCCGGGGTATGGTTTGTTTGCAATCGTGTCATTACGATTTCGTGAGTCATGTTGACGGCAGTGAGGGGACTTGAGCTAGAGTTCGTCACGGCCACGCTAGCTGGAGATTCGTCTGTAAAAACTTGCATTTGTGGTCACAGTGGTGCCTATGCTAACCTTCCTATGGTGTAGAAATATACCTAGTTGGACGAATCTTATTGTGGCTAGCTGGTCTTGTGGCTAATGCGACGGTCTGGAGTTTTGAGACTCTCTGACTGCGGGTTCAATCCCGGCCGGCGTATGGTTTGTTTGCAATCGTGTCATTACGATTTCGTGAGTCGTGTCAACATGTGTAAGCGCCCACAAGCATGTCAGCTCATGTCAGTACACGTCAGCACGTCATTCTTTTACCCTAATAACAAATAAATTCAGCAAAGGCTTGTGTATGAACTTGGGTCACCGTTTACTTACGTGTCTGTTATAGAAGGTGCGCAGAAGCACCTTCTTTAGGCAGATGAAAAAATATTGAATGTATGTATATTCTTCAGGAAACAGTGTCCATCCTATTCTTGAGGAACTATATGAGTCAATTTAGGTCCTGGAGAGCGAAACGTTGCCACAATAAAATGCCGCATTGGTTGCACTTATGTCCTTTTACTTAACATATTGTCGATAATTTTACTAACATCATTACTCACCAACTAGTTTCAGGGCTGGGTTGCCATGGGAAATAAAATGGAAATAAAAGGACCCCAATGGAAATAAGTCACTCTGTCTGACTTTTTTGGGTTATCCTAGGTTCTCTACACATATGCTGCTATGTATGATAATTCTATGTAACTGTATTTGTGTATACCTGAATAAAACTTACTTAATCCCATTCCGCTCAGCGAAAACAATGACATGAATTAAGGGCCACTGGTGTCGTCAGCGAGGCGCTATCGGCTCCGTTGTTTACGACTCCGATGCTTCCCTCAGGAGGGTTCATACAGTCCTCGGGCCGCCACGCGCATTTAACTCATCAATAAAAATTGGATATGCATCCACGAAAAATCGGGAATAATAATATTAACTATGACTTCAGCAGTGGCGTTGGTTAAGTGCAGTGGTGACTCAGGGAATCGGGTGTGTGGCACTGCTGGGTTTAGGCAAGGAGGGTCCACCTGACCTCATTAGGAACTTACACTTGTGTATCTTTGTTTCCGAAATGTTTTGCTCCCATAACACTGTTCTTCAGTTGAATACAGGAAAACACTGGAGATAGTAGTAGTAGTTTTGACGTGCTCAGTCTGTCAGCTTTAGTGCGAGGTGTTAGTTCCTCAAGCCTGAAAGGATTGAAGGACTGACCACCTTCCACCAAGGATCACGTCAAAACTACTACTACTACTGCTGTCTCCATTCCCCCTCAAGGGGTGAGGGGAAATGGTGAGGTACTCTTGATCCAAGGAATCGGTAGCAGTTGATGATATCCTCAGCTCACATTGATGGACCGGGAATCGCATGCTTCCTTACACTTGCCCTGTTCACCTAGTAGTAAGTAGGAACCTGGGTGTTAGCCAACTGGTGTGGATCGCATCCTGGGGAAGATTAAAGGACCTTAAGGATGATGCACTGACTTTATTGGGTTATCCTGGTTGGCTAACCTTCTCCCGGGTTAAACATCTGATTTAAATCTTCTCTAGTCTTATCGAACTTGAAAGCTTCCCATTTAGTCTGGAGTTGTATGATCCTTACAGGTTTAGCGCTTCCTCATGAATGTAATAATAATAATAATAATAATAATAATAATAATAATAATAATAATAATAATAATAATAATGTCTCCTGTATTTGACCGAGGAAGCCTGTTGTGCCGGCGAAACGTTTCTGCAGTAAAGATAACCAAGTGTTGAACATGTATCTTATTCATCAACTTGCCGGCATTGTGTGCCATCAGTAATTCTCTTTCCAGAGGAAACTTAATAAATACACATATGTATCCCTTCTCTCTCATCTCTATGTGACTAGTTAATGGTCCCTGTCTGTATCTTACAGCTGGACTTTAAATAACAATATATCACAAGGACCCCCCAAATGGAAATAAGCCACTCTATCTGACTTTTTTGGGTTATCCTAGGTTCTCTACACATATGCTGCTATGTATGATAATTCTATGTAACTGTATTTGTGTATACCTGAATAAAACTTACTTAATCCCATTCCGCTCAGCGAAAACAATGACATGAATTAAGGGCCACTGGTGTCGTCAGCGAGGCGCTATCGGCTCCGTTGTTTACGACTCCGATGCTTCCCTCAGGAGGGTTCATACAGTCCTCGGGCCGCCACGCGCATTTAACTCATCAATAAAAATTGGATACGCATCCACGAAAAATCGGGAATAATAATATTAACTATGACTTCAGCAGTGGCGTTGATTAAGTGCAGTGGTGACTCAGGGAATCGGGTGTGTGGCACTGCTGGGTTTAGGCAAGGAGGGTCCACCTGACCTCATTAGGAACTTACACTTGTGTATCTTTGTTTCCGAAATGTTTTGCTCCCATAACACTGTTCTTCAGTTGAATACAGGAAAACACTGGAGATAGTAGTAGTAGTTTTGACGTGCTCAGTCTGTCAGCTTTAGTGCGAGGTGTTAGTTCCTCAAGCCTGAAAGGATTGAAGGACTGACCACCTTCCACCAAGGATCACGTCAAAACTACTACTACTACTGCTGTCTCCATTCCCCCTCAAGGGGTGAGGGGAAATGGTGAGGTACTCTTGATCCAAGGAATCGGTAGCAGTTGATGATATCCTCAGCTCACATTGATGGACCGGGAATCGCATGCTTCCTTACACTTGCCCTGTTCACCTAGTAGTAAGTAGGAACCTGGGTGTTAGCCAACTGGTGTGGATCGCATCCTGGGGAAGATTAAAGGACCTTAAGGATGATGCACTGACTTTATTGGGTTATCCTGATTGGCTAACCTTCTCCCGGGTTAAACATCCGATTTAAATCTTCTCTAGTCTTATCAAACTTGAAAGCTTCCCATTTAGTCTGGAGTTGTATGATCCTTACAGGTTTAGCGCTTCCTCATGAATGTAATAATAATAATAATAATAATAATAATAATAATAATAATAATAATAATAATAATAATTAATAATAATAATAATAATAATAATAATAATAATAATAATAATATTAATAATGTCTCCTGTATTTGACTGAGGAAGCCTGTTGTGCCGGCGAAACGTTTCTGCAGTAAAGATAACCAAGTGTTGAACATGTATCTTATTCATCAACTTGCCGGCATTGTGTGCCATCAGTAATTCTCTTTCCAGAGGAAACTTAATAAATACACATATGTATCCCTTCTCTCTCATCTCTATGTGACTAGTTAATGGTCCCTGTCTGTATCTTACAGCTGGACTTTAAATAACAATATATCACAAGGACCCCCCAAATGGAAATAAGCCACTCTATCTGACTTTTCTGGGGTTATCCTATGTAATGTACACATGTGTTAGTGTGGATAATACAGGTACACATAAGTACAATTACTTAAATAAGCTTACTGGGAAGTTAAGGTTCAATAAGGCGTATACTTTAGTGGCTTTTAACAGCCCCTTTTAACATCAACAACCAGACAGATTCCACATCACAACCGCAGGAAGCTGAAGGAGGATGTCAGTGGTCCTATAAACCCCAACAACAGCTGTAAGCAAACTGAAACAACAACCGCACCTTTTTTTTTTTTTTTTGTGGGGGGGGGGGTTATCGAAGGTAATTTACACACGTTATTAGGTTTCTGTGTATGGTAACTGTACTTATGTGTACCTGTACCTAATTGTAATACATGTAACTAATTGTATTTAGTGTACCTGCACCTAATTATACATACTTCTACCAAATTGTACGTACCTGTACCGAATTGTAATACATGTAACCCCTCAAGGAAGGTTCCTTGATGTTGGTGAGGGGCTCTTGATTTAGGGAATTGGATCTGTGCTCCAGTTCCCCGAATTAAGCCTGAATGCCTTCCACATCCCCCCCCAGGCGCTGTTTAATCCTCCGGGTTTAGCGCTTCCCCCTTGATTATAATAATAATAATAATACATGTAACTAATTGTATTTAGTGTACCTGCACCTAATTATACATACTTCTACCAAATTGTACGTACCTGTACCAAATTGTGCGTACCTGTACCCAATTGTGCGTACCTGTACCAAATTGTGCGTACCTGTACCAAATTGTGCGTACCTGTACCAAATTGTACTTACCTGTACCCAATTGTGCGTGCCTGTACCTAATTGTACATACCTGTACCAAATTGTACATACCTGTACCTAATTGTGCGTGCCTGTACCTAATTGTGCGTACCTGTATCTAATTGTGCGTACCTGTATCTAATTGTGCGTCCCTGTACCTAATTGTGCGTACCTGTACCTAACTGTACATACCTGTACCTAATTGTGCATACCTGTATATAATTGTGAGTGCCTGTACCTAATTGTACATACCTGTACCTAATTGTGCATGCCTGTGCCTAATTGTGCGTGCCTGTACCTAATTGTATGTACCTGTACCTAATTGTATGTACCTGTACCTAATTGTACATACCTGTACCAAATTGTGCATACCTGTACCTAATTGTGCATACTTGTACCTAATTGTACATACCTTTGCCTAATTGTACATATTTGTACTTAATTATATGTATCTGAACCAAATTGTGCATACCAAATCTATCAGTGGGCTGCAGAAAACAATATGAAGTTCAACGATGAGAAATTTCAATTACTCCGACATTGTAAACATGAGGAAATTAAAACTTCATCAGAGTACAAAACAAATTCCGGCCACAAAATAGAGCAAAAAACCAACGTCAAAGACCTGGGAGTGATCATGTCGGAGGATCTCACCTTCAAGGACCATAACATTGTATCAATCGCATCTGCTAAAAAAATGACAGGATGGATAATGAGAACCTTCAAAACTAGGGATGCCAAGCCCATGATGACACTCTTCAGGTTGCTTGTTCTATCTAGGCTGGAATATTGCTGCACACTAACATCACCTTTCAAGGCAGGTGAAATTGCTGACCTAGAAAATGTACAGAGAACCTTAATGGCATGCATAACTGAGATAAAACACTTCAATTACTGGGAGCACTTGAAGTTCCTGAACCTGTACTCCCTGGAATGCAGGTGGGAAAAATACATGATTATATACACCTGGAAAATCCTAGAGGGACTAATGCCAAACTTGCAAACGAAAATCACTCTCTACAAAAGCAAAAGACTCGGCAGACGATGCAACATCCCCCCATTGAAAAGCAGGGGTGCCACTAGCATGTTAAAGAGACAGCACAGTAAGTGTCAGGGGCCCAAAACTGTTCAACTGCCTCCCAGCATACCAATAGACCCCTGGCTGTCTTCAAGCAGGTGTTGGACAAGCACCTAAAGTCGGTACCTGACCAGCCGGGCTGTGGTTCGTACGTTGGATTGTGTGCAGCCAGCAGTAACAGCCTGGTTGATCAGGCCCTGATCCACCATGAGACCTGGTTACAGACCGGGCCATGGGGGCATTTACCCCTGGAACTCTCTCCAGGTAAACTCCAGGTAAACAAGTGAACAAACCCCAATGGAAATAAGTCACTTTGACTTGTTTGGTTATCCCAGGTAATCTACACATATTCTGCTATGTATGTAACTATTTATGTGTACCTGTACCTGAATAGACTTATATACTAGTTACTAACCTTGTGGACAGACTTCTAGTCTTTGATGAACTCTACAGCTGTATAACTAGTGCGGGTTGACCGCTACTCTATGAATGAAGAAGGTTTGAATGGTTTTGGGGATCAGGTAGCTCGTAGCTTAGTGGTAGCGTTGTTGGGTGGCAACTGAGGAACCTGAGTTCAATCTTGGGTGAGAGCAAACCTCCATACACCAGCTGGAGTTAATTGACTAATAATAATAATCATAATAATAATAATAATAAATAATAATATTAATAATAATAATAATAATAAAAAAAAAATACAGTACTACTGAGGTCTGGGGATCGATCCCCGGTACAGCTGGAAACATTAGGATGTGTTTCCTTAGGCACTTGCTGTCTGTGTTCACCTATCAGTAAAATAGGTACCTGTGTGTTAGTCAACTGGTATAGGTTGCATCCTGGGAGCAAAATTAACATAATTTGCCCAAAATGCTCTGCATAACAATGGGCTTTCTATGTAGTAGTATGTCACTTATACCAGCTTGACTTGTATACATTGTACTTGTAGAAATAAACTTTATTATTATTATTATTATTGAAGATCAGTCAATCAATCATCATCAGTCATTCCTACACAAATAACTCACACACTGAAGAGAGGAGCTTACGACGATGTTTTGGTCCAACTTGGACCATTTACAAAGTCACACACAGTGTGACTTTGTAAATAGTCTAAGTTGGATCGAAACATCATCGTAAGCTCCTCTCTTTTATGTGCGGGTTATTTGTGTATTGTACCAGTCATGGTATTGTGTCTTTTTTTTGTTATTTATCAGTCATCATCAATCATCATTTATTATCAGGTCTCAGGACTCCACTGGAAATAAGTCACTTTGACTTTTTTTGGGTTATTTTAAGTAATTTACACTATATAAGATAATTGTACTTATGTGTGCCTGTGCTTAAATAAATTTACTTAATTATTTAGGTTTTATAATCAAGTGCCGGTAGAAACCTTAGTGATATTTTGAGGGCAGCATTTGGTGTGATTGATTTAATGACATTTTAAATACCATACAAATTCAAATTTTATTTCTTAGCAAGTTTACAATGTGTGATTTGCATTTTATAAAATGTTGTTAATTACAAATGGATATTTCCTCTTTTCAACTCACTATTATTTTCCCTTATTTAACATTTATTGTGTTGTTTTACATGCTATGCTTGATGTATAGTACTGTATGACCCTTGTGGGTTTAGAACTTAGTTATACTTATAATGATGATAGTAATATGCTTGATGTACACTTTGCATACATATGATTCTACAAGTCAAAGTCATCTTCATGCAGTGGTCACCAGTATTATGGTGGTTGCTGCAATGCTGCTCACTATATGCAGTTGTTCATGTCCACCTATAATGCAGTATCTAGAAATAGAACTTGTGGTATCCAGAAGTAGAACTTGGTATGTAGAACTTGTGGTATCTAGAAGTAAAAGTTGGAGTAGTACTAAGCAGTAGAGGTAGTGAATTAACTGAATCACTTTTAATATACAGTGGACCCCCGCATAACGATTACCTCCGAATGTGACCAATTATGTAAGTGTATTTATGTAAGTGCGTTTGTACCTGTATGTTTGGGGGTCTGAAATGGACTAATCTACTTCACAATATTCCTTATGGGAATAAATTCGGTCTGTACTGGCACCTGAACATACTTATGGAGTGAAAAAATATCATTAACCGGGGGTCCACTGTACAGTGGTACCTTGGAATATGAACTTAATTCATTCTAGAAGGCTGTTCGAGTGCCAATATCGAACGAATTTGTTCCAATATGGAATAATGTAAATTAGATTAATCCGTTTCAGACCCCCAAACATACACTTACAAAAGCACTTGCATAAATACACTTACATAATTGTTCAAGTTTTGAGCTGTTCGTATCCTGAGGTACCACTGTACTCTAAATGTTCTTTTTCCTATGTACCTTGCTATGATTTTATCTACTTCATATTACATATGCATATTCATTGAATCACTTTTATTGTGAATATCAGTAATGTCATATATAAATATATGTAAAATACAATAGTCTTTCTAGATGTAAGTTAGGATTAAGCTTGCTCGAAATGCTCTGCATAACTAAGGGGCATTCCCTGTGTTTGATGTAATATCATTCAATTTTGTACCAACGATGCATCATATGGAAATAAATTTTTATTTAATTTGAAGTGTCAGTATTTGTATTGTGAGATATGGATTATTAAAAAGACTTCACATTTTGTTTAGCAGATTGGCGTGGTGATTTTGCAAGCTCATCACAATCATGTGTAGTGTTGACCCTGATGAAATAACTGAAATGGTGCATGCTACAGGAGCACTAGACATTAGCAGGTATGTCATAGTCTGTGTCATAATTGTCTACATTCTCACCTTGTGGCTTTATTTATTACACAACACATAAGCACTTTTTTCTTCCTTTATCTCTTATTTTGCAGTTACCTGTAATCAAACTCATCGAAGATCTTTGGATGTTTAGTATTCCAGATTTCCTCTTCCAGTTCATCAATTTTGTCCTCGTCCAGATTCTTCTTAGTACACACATGTAAATGTCTTTTTATTTAGTTTGCTTTGTACAAAACTGAATAAATTTGGTAGTTTCTTGTTCTTGTCTGTTATTTCTTTTTTGAAAGTTTCTTTCATCTTCTCAGTACTCCAGTGGAAGTAAGTCTAGCTGTTTAGTTTTATTGGTTTATCCTATGTTAAATCCACACTGTACAGATTTATACTGCTGTCTGTAAAATTATTTGTAATTTCTTAAATATAGCTTATCTTATCTCACTGTATGATGCTTGCAGGTTTAGTGCTTAGTTATGATTGTATCAATAATAATCTCTAGTTTCACATTGTTAGTGAATATTAATTTCTGGCTGGTTTATAACACTGGTATGTCTCTGAGTTGATGTGCTTCCTGTAGTGATTTCACATTTTTTTTTTTTGGCTTTACATCATTTTTCATTAACCATTCTTAATTGTGTTACTGCATAGACTTCTGTAGAAAATTATGACTCAGTCTTTTTCTCATTGAACCATTTCTCTAATCCCTGTCTAGATTATGAAGTGGGGATCATCTATATTATGGCACTAATTTTACTCTCACAATGGAAATTAAGATTACAGGAAAAATAACAGTAAAGGAAATTTATTATACAGTAGGGCCCCCGTATCCATGGGGAATATGTTCCAAGACCTACCACGGATATAAAAAAACTTGGATAGTGAACCCTGTATTTAATTTATTTTTCATTTACATACATACATACTTGTGATGAAGTTTAATTGATAAATTATGGACAATATATCAAGAATTAGCACTTTTTTTCCTGATGGGAAGCACTTCACAACTTCTTTTAGGCTTTGAAGAGCTGCCACCATCACTACTTTTGCACTTGGTGTTATTATTAAGCAAAATTAAGGGTTATTTTTGGGCCAAGGTAAACCACGGATAACTGAAACTGGAAACTGGACCCGTGGATACGGCAGTCCTACTGTATGGAGTATAAGTATTGTATGTACAGTATTGTGCATATTCTTGATAAATATTTATATTTTTCAGAGGAGATGTCTTGTGTCGTAAGTGTGGAGAGTCGGCGGCAGAGGTTGTGTTGAGAGTCAAGGATGCATACTGCAGGTTTGGCTTTTGTATTTTTATAAATTTTTCAATAAACTTTTGTATGTAAAGAATAAAAATGCATAATGTTGTGACAGGAACAGTGCACAGATAAACCATCACAAAGAATGAAACTCATGATGCTGTTTCATTGCCTGACTAGCTAATGGTCTAAGTTGGACTGAAATGTCATCATATGTTTCAGTCTCCTATATGTGGGTTATTTATGTACCTTTGTATATAATTGAGTGACAGTTTATTTTAATATTTAGATTTGTTTATTCAAAGGTTATTAATACTTTTCCACAAGTACAACAAGCTATTCAGAGATTTATTTTGTTTTTATTTTCATAAAATAACTTTGTTCATCTCCAATCTTCAATAAAGATTCCCATATGTTGCATAATTGTCTCAGTCTTCAGAATTCTTCCTCTGTTAGCTGTGTGTTGTAAGAGATGACTAACATGTTGGGAACAATGGGCTGGTAACCCCTTATCCTGTATACATTACTAAAGCTAAAAAGAGAAACTTTTGTTTTTCTTTTTGGGCCACCCTGCCTTGGTGGGATACGGCCAATTTGTTGAAAGAAGAAGAACTTTGTTCTTAACTGCTTTTCTGGATTGCGGATTACAGTACTTGATTCTGTCTGTCAGATTTACTCTACTGAATTTCCAGTCAGTTTGAAGTTCTTTAAAATGCATCCTGCTGATTACCTTGCATGTCTCCCATTGTTATCCTCAACACGCTAATTACTCTCCCCTTTTATTAACCTGTATTACCTGACTGGAAGGTCATAATATTGACTAATACTACATAGTAGTATTAGTGTATGAACATATTGACTAATACAGTGGACCCCTGGCTTACGATATTATTTCATTCCAGAAGTATGTTCAGGTGCCATTACTGAACGAATTTGTTCCCATAAGGAATATTGTGAATTAGATTAGTCCATTTCAGACCCCCAAACATACACGTGCAAACACACTTACATAAATACACTTACATAATTGGTCGCATTGGGGGTCCACTGTACTACCCAAAACAGTACAGTGGACCCCCGGTTAACGAACTTTTTTCATTCCAGTAGTATGTTCAGGTGCCAGTACTGACCGAATTTTTTCCCATAAGGAATATTGTGAAATAGATTAGTCCATTTCAGACCCCCAAACATACACGTACAAACGCACTTACATAAATACACTTACATAATTGGTCGCATTTGGAGGTGATCGTTAAGCGGGGGTCCACTGTACTGCCCTGCACCCAATTGTAGCATTTTCGTACTGTAAACTACTTTCAGCAAATCACAATGTTATATTCCCATAATATAATTTAAATATTTATTATTGAAACTATTGTACAACTTAAACTATGATAAATTCTTTAGTATTAAGTAGTCAGTAAGCCATTAAATTAAGTCTGCCCATAATGCCTAGGCATGATAGAGGTTCTCTTTGTGCTGCAACTCATTATTGTCAATACGTACATAATCTCAATGTACTACTTGCAAAGAAATGAAATTGATTGATTGATTGATTGCAGCTATATCATATTATAGTTTGATTCACGAGATTTTTCTTTGGAAAAAACATTAGATATCTTGATACTGTATTATGTTGAATATATAAGAGTTATGGCATTTCTCTCTAGTCTTGCATTTTTTGCAGGCTGTGCTTTTTATCGTACTTTGTACACAAGTTTCGTTCCACTATTGGCAAGTCAAAACAAATCCATGCAGGTGACCGTGTTCTTGTGGCAACATCAGGAGGAGCATCTTCAACAGCTCTTCTTCACATGATACGAGAAGGCCTCAATGAAAATTCTCATAAAAAGCTACGCTTTGATCCTGCTTTTCTCTATATTGATGGTATTTCTTGAAGAGTTATTATCCTTGATTTTGTATGTGCACCAATTTTAAGAGAAACTGTTTGGTAATCCTCATAACTTTTTTTTATCATATCTGAGTTTTAAAGAAAAAGCTAGTTTATGAGAATACTCTTAGCTAAATGTATAGCTTTGTATACAATCTAGAACTTGGTTAATCATGTGGTTAAGTTTAATTGAAGAAGCCCTACTGCAAAACTTTTTTTTTTTTTATCTTTTAATGAAAAAAAATGCCCTTTGAAACAAGGTGGATACTCCTGTGTATTCTATATTAACCCTTTCAAGGTCCGTGCTGTAGATCTATGGCTTTATGTTGAGGGTCCACACCGTAGATCTACGCCATGAGCTCAGCTCGCTCTGATAAACTGTGAGCGGTAAATTTGGGCCTAGATATGAGAGAATACATCTATGTGGTATGTGTGCACCACATAAAACAAATCCTGCAGCACACAGTGCATAATGAGAGAAAAAAACTGAGACCGTAATTTTCGATTAAAACAGCAACTTTGCAGTGTTTTTTCATATGTTTTTTTATAGTTGTATTTGCGATTTCTTGGTCGCGTTTGATAGAATCGCAGATATATTACAGAAATAGAGATGATTTTGATTGGTTTTAGTACTGAAAATGGCTTGAAACTGAGCTCTAAGTAGCGAAAATGTTAAATTTTTGCCGATGTTCAAGAGTAAACAAATGACCTCACACCTCTAATACACCCCTGCTGGTGGGTCTAATATACGTTCACAAATGTGCTGATATTATTTATACAATTACTACAATATTGCATGACAATAAATCTTCTATTTTTTGGTTTGAATAAAAATTCATTTTGCGAATTGAAAATCAAAATGGAATTAATTTGTAAAGCCTGAAAACATAACTAATGAACAAAGGAAATGTTAGTTTAGTGCCAGGAATGCCTGCATTGTTTATTCTGGACCCTATTTTGAAATTGGAATATTTTGAACTTTGTACTAAATTGGCCAAATTACCAATTTCCAATCACTTTATTTTGTAGTTGAAACAGATAAGTTCATGATTTCTTCTGCTCAATTGATAGAATAGAAGTAATACTAGTGAAATAGCTAAGAATTTGGTCGACTGGAATAAGGTAATTGGCCTAAAATGGGAGTCAGAGTTGGTAAAATCGCCAATGCGTAAATATCGCCGACACATCAAAATTCGTGAGAGCATAATTTCGTCAATTTTCCATCAAATTTCGTACTTTTTGTTTTATTACCTTCAGAAAAAGATTCTCTACCATTTCATAAGAAAAAATAACAAAATTATTTTTTGAAAATTCTTGGACACTGGTGCGCAGTTTGAAGTTTAGCCTCTGGACCCTGAAAGGGTTAATTGTTTAGCCTTATTAGTTTGAGTGCAACAGAGCAGTAGCTATATTATGAGAAGTGGAGACAGATATAGACCTTAGAGTACAAATAATTATGCAGTTCACGAAGTGCATGACTGATGAATATGTGGAGATATTTTAGGAAGTCCTTGTGTTACAAGTGTTCCTAGTTACACACAGTTTTCCTCCCAATGGAGGTTCCTTGATACCAGCGAGGGGTTCTTAATTTAAAGGTATTTTTTCAACGTTCTGGCCGCCCCCACTGATGTAGGGTGACCTGAACAAGAAGAGAGCTATGAAGTTTTTCTTATTTTAACAGAGAGTACTATAAATTATCTTTTATCTCTTTAAACTTTGTTTATAGTCATGTGCAATTACACTTCAAAATATTCTTTTATCTTTGCCACTCAAAACAACCTATTTTTCAGAGAGTTGCATTAGTGAAAATCCCAGTATTGGACCAGATTATGTACAGAAGATTTGTAATACAGTCATCTCTATGGGTTTCCAGTGTTATGTTACATCACTACAAGAAGTCATGTTACCAAGTGCATGCTCACCTGTCCTGTTTACAAAGGTGGGTCAGATTTCAAGTAGATTGAATTAAAGAACCTCATATGAGCTGCCAGGCCAATTATGGCACGATAAGCACTTGAAGTGAAGTGCATTTATAAAAAGCAAAGCGAATATTGCTGTTGGTGTGTGAGCAGGGCAACATTTTGTGAAGGGATATAGGGAAACTGGTTAGCCAGACTTGAGTCCTGGAGGTAGGAAGTACAGTGCCTGCACTCTAAAGGAAAGATTTGGGATATTTGCCATTTGGAGGGACATCTAAACTGTTGTATCTACACCCCTCTGGCAAGACAGTGATAGTGTGAATGATGGTGAAAGTGTTTCTTGTTCGGGGTCATACTGCCTTGGTGAGAGATGGCCAGCATGTTAAAAAACAAACAAAAATAAGTATATCATATATAGCATTCTCCATGGGGAAGTGAAACAGAATTCTTCCTCCGTAAGCCATGCATGTCGTAAGAGGCGACTAAAATAAATTATAAATGAGTGAGCTACTCAAGTCCTAGTAAGACTCAGTTTTTAGCAAGCTGCTAACCAGACTGAGAGTCGAAGATCAAAATTAATTTTTTATGAGAGAGCCACAGAATTTGGTTAATACAAGCCTATCTGATATCATCCTGACACCAAATGACTTCGAACAGGCGATAAATGACATGCCTATGCACTCTGCCCCAGGGCCAGACTCATGGAACTCCGTGTTCATCAAGAACTGCAAGAAGCCCCTATCACGAGCGTTTACCATCCTATGGAGAGGGAGCATGGACACGGGGGTCGTCCCACAGTTACTAAAAAACAACAGACATAGCCCCACTCCACAAAGGGGGCAGTAAAGCAATAGCAAAGAACTACAGACCGATAGCACTAACATCCCATATCATAAAAATCTTTGAAAGGGTCCTAAAAAGCAAGATAGCCACCCATCTAAATACCCATCAATTACACAACCCAGGGCAACATGGGTTTAGAGCAGGTCGCTCCTGTCTGTCTCAACTACTGGATCACTACGACAAGGTCCTAGATGCACTAGAGGACAAAAAGAATGCAGATGTAATATATACAGACTTTGCCAAAGCCTTCGACAAGTGTGATCATGGTGTAATAGCGCACAAAATACGTGCTAAAACATAACAGGAAAAATTGGTAGGTGGATCTATAATTTCCTCACAAACAGAACACAAAGAGTAGTAGTCAACAGAGTAAAGTCTGAGGCAGCTACGGTGAAAAGCTCTGTTCCACAAGGCACAGTACTCGCTCATCCTCATATCTGACATAGACAAGGATGTCAGCCACAGCACCATGTCTTCCTTTGCAGATGACACCTGAATCTGCATGACAGTGTCTTCCATTGCAGACACTGCAAGGCTCCAGGCGGACATCAGCCAAATCTTTCAGTGGGCTGCAGAAAACAATATGAAGTTCAATGATGAGAAATTTCAATTACTCCAATATGGTAAACATGAGGAAATTAAAACGTCCTCAGAGTACAAAACAAATTCCTTCCACAAAATAGAGCGAAAAACCAACGTCAAAGACCTGGGAGTGATCATGTCGGAGGATCTCACCTTCAAGGACCATAACATTGTATCAATCGCATCTGCTAGAAAAATGACAGGATGGATAATGAGAACCTTCAAAACTAGGGATGCCAAGCCCATGATGACACTCTTCAGGTGTCATCATGGGCTTGTTCTGTCTAGGCTGGAATATTGCTGCACACTAACAGCACCTTTCAAGGCAGGTGAAATTGCTGACCTAGAAAATGTACAGAGAACCTTCCCGGCGCACATAACGGAGATAAAACACCTCAATTACTGGGAGCTCTTGAATTTCCTGAACCTGTACTACTGGAACGCAGGCAGGAGAGATACATGGTTATATACACCTGGAAAATCCTAGAGGGACTAGTACCGAACTTGCACACGAAAATCACTCACAATGAAAGCAAAAGACTCGGCAGACGATGCAACATCCCCCCAATGAAAAGCAGGGGTGTCACTAGCATGTTAAGAGACAATACAATAAGTGTCAGGGGCCTGAGACTGTTCAACTGCCTCCCAGCATACATAAGGGGGATTACCAATAGATCCCTGGCTGTCTTCAAGCTGGCACTGGACAAGCACCTAAAGTCGGTACCTGATCAGCCGGGCTGTGGCTCGTACATTGGATTGCGTGCAGCCAGCAGTAACAGCCTGGTTGATCAGGCTCTGATCCACCAGGCCGCCTGGTCACAGACCGGGCTGCGGGAGCATTGACCCCCGGAACTCTCTCCAGGTAAATTACTAAATTTAACAGCAACTTGCGTTTTTCTTTTTTGGGCCACCCTGCCTTGGTGGGATATGGCTAGTTTATTGAAAGAAGAATATATAGCATTCTTCATTTTTGTTATTTATATTTCACTGTCTTTAAACCTGGTGTAATAAGAGTGCAGACTTTTGAAACTCTTTAGACAGGAGTGTTTGCCATTAGAAAATCTGTCCCTGGAACACACAACATTGGTTCTGCAGTTTCATCTGTCCTCTTGCAGGGTAAAATAGTTTGCCACTCCCAAACATAAGAATAAAACTATTAATTTAATTTAAATTAACCAAATTGTTGTCAAATCCATGTAAATAGGATTCAGATCAATGCATCAGAATCTGTGAAAAGTATTCTGAATGCGTTGATCACTGAGAACAACTTAGCAAGAGATTTAGGCACAGAAAGCAAAATGTACTCCCAGTTGCCTTTTCCTACTTCCCACTACAGATTGCTGCCAAGATACTTAAATCAGTTTATATCCAGTTTACAGGTTTAGATTCATTAAGATTCTCAGAACTTTAACACTCCAAAGTTTGCTTTTCAATGAAACAATTTAAGTGTTGTTTACATGTCAGAAGAATTTAACACAAGGACTGGTGGAAGCTTGCTACTCAAGCCAGTAGTAATAACCTGGTTACCGATCAGTCAGGCTTTGTGATCACTTGATGCCTTGGCAGGAAATGGCCAATGTGTAAAAATTTCTTTCTTGATGTATCACTTTTAATTTTTTACACAAAAGTATGGGTGTACAAAGAGTTTGTGAAGTTAGATGAGTATTTTCTTACTCTTATTTAAAGGTTTATTTAATTAGTCCTAGACTTTCATTGGCTCTTTTTCATGGCTGCTCCTTCATGCTGCTTTACTTATGATTAGTGAGCTATTCTGTGATGATCCTTTACTTTCTTTGCTTGGTAATAAAGGAATGTTATTAATATGGAGGCTCCTAACATATGCCACTTGGTGAGCTCTTCTTTTCTCAGGTACAAAGTCTCGATTTTATATGTTATGCCATTTTTGGCAGAGAGCATGCATAGTTCCTTTGTATAAAGGCAAAGGGGATAAAAGAGTGCAAAAATTATAGGGGAATAAGTCTGTTGAGTATACCTGGTAAAGTGTATGGTAGAGTTGTTATTGAAAGAATTAAGATGAACAAGGAGGCTTTAGGAAAAGTAGGGGGTGTGTAGACCAAGTGTTTACAGTGAAACATATAGGTGAACAATATTTAGATAAGGCTGAAGAGGTTTTTGTGGCATTTATGGATTTGGAAAAGGCATATGACAGGGTGGATAGGGGGGGTAATGTGGCAGATGCTGCAGGTGTATGGTATAGGAGGTAGGCTACTGAAAGCAGTGAAGTGTTTTTACAAGGATAGTGAAGCTCAGGTTAGAGTATGTAGGAGAGAGGGAGATTATTTCCTAGTAAAATTAGGCCTTAGACAAGGATGTGTGATGTCACCGTGGCTGTTCAATATATTTATAGATGGGGTTGTAAGAGAAGTGAATGCAAGGGTCTTGGCAAGAGGTGTGGAGTTAAAAGATAAAGAATTAAGCACAAAGTGGGAGTTGTCACAGTTGCTCTTTGCTGATGACACTGTGCTTTTGGGAGATTCTGAAGAGAAATTGCAGAGGTTGGTAGATGAATTTGGTAGGGTATGTAAAAGAAGAAAATTAAAAGTGAATATAGGAACAAGTAAGGTGATGAGGATAACAAAAAGATTAGGTGATGAAAGATTGGATATCAGATTGGAGGGAGAGAGTATGGAGGAGGTGAATGTATTCAGACATTTAGGAGTGGATTTGTCAGCAGATGGTCTATGAAGGATGAGGTGAATCATAGAATTGATGAGGGAAAAAGGGCGAGTGGTGCACTTAGGAGTCTGTGGAGACAGAACTTTGTCCATGGAAGCAAAGAGGGGAATGTATGTGAGTACAGTTATACCAACACTCCTATATGGGTGTGAAGCATGGGTGATGAATGTTGCAGCAAGAAGGCTGGAGGCAGTGATGTTGTGTCTGAGGGCAATGTGTGGTATGAATATAATGCAGAAAATTCTCTTTTGGAAATTAGGAGAAGGTGCGGGATTATCAAAACTATTATTCAGAAGGCTGAGGAAGGGTTGTTGAGGTGGTTCGGACATGTAGAGAGAATGAAACAAAACAGAATGACTTCGAGAGTGTATAAATCTGTAGTGGAGGGAAGGCGGGGTAGGGGTTGGCCTAGGAAAGGTTGGAGGGAGGGGGTAAAGGGGGTTTTGCGTGCGAGGGGCTTGGACTTCCAGCAAGCATGCGTGAGCGTATGTGTGGTGTTAAATATTATGCAGGAAATTCAGGAGTGTGGAAATTAGGAAAAGGTGTGGAGTTAATAAAGTATTAGTCAGAGGGCAGAAGAGGGGTTGTTTGAGGTGGTTTGGGTCATTTGAGAAATGGAGCAAAAGTAGAATGGACAGGGAAGCATATTAAATCTATAGGGATAGGAAGGCGGTGGGTATTGGGGGTCGACCTCGAAAGGGTTGGAGAGAGGGGGTTAAAGGAGGTTTGTGGGCAAGGGGTTGGTCTTCCAGCAAGCGTGCATGAACGTGTGAGTATAGGAGTGAATGGAGACGATGGTACTGGGGGACTGACGATCTGTTGGAGGGTGTGCAGGGCCGGTTTACCGCATTGGCAAAAGGCATTTGCCTAGGGCCCCGGCGGTCAAGGGTTTCAGGGG